TATAAACTAACTGGGGTTGGTCATTGGTCCTGGTATAAACCAACTGGAACTGGTCATTAGTCCTGGTTTATACCAACTGCGACTGTTCCAAAGCCCTGTTATATAACAACAGTATCTGGTATTAAGTCCTGGTCTAAACCTATTTGGACTGGCCCCAAGTCATGATATAAACCAAATGGGACTTGTCATAAGTTCTGGTATACACCGACTGGTCCTAGTCCCAAGTCCCGTTATATACGAACGGGGGCTGGTATTAAGTTTTGGTATATACCAGCTAGGAATGGTCCCAAGTTCTTGTAGAATATAAATAGGAAATGGTCAGGTTATACTAACAGGGACTGGACCTAAATCCTAGTATATTCGCAGGGATTGATCCTAAATCCTTATATATATATATCAATAGGAACTGATCCTATAGCTTGGTGTATACCAAATGGGACAGGTCCCAAGTCCTGATTAAAACCAACTGGGACTGGTCCCAAGTCCTGATTTATATCAACTGGGACTGGTCCCAAGTCTTGATTTATACCAACTGGGACTGGTCCCAAGTCCTGATTTATATCAACTGGGACTGGTCCCAAGTCCTGATTTATACCAACTGGGACTGTTCCCAAGTCCTGATTAATACCAACTGGGACTGGTCCCAAGTCCTGATTTATACCAACTGGGACTGGTCCCAAGTCCTGATTTGTACCACCTGGGACTAGTCCTAAGTCCTGATATCTACCAACTAATATTGGTCCTAAGTCATGGTATATACCAATTTGACCTGGTCCTTAACAACAAACTACCACACTCTTAACGATATCTTTTTTAATTAATTCAAATATCAGAAAGACAGATTTAGATAAAGGTGCCATGCTATTAAATGTCTTTCCACCTGTGAATTACAGATGGTATGTTGTAACTCAAGCAGACATTAAAGAGAGGAGTAAGACCTGTTTGTAAACAAATACCTGACCTAGTCTGTAACGATAGCTAGCTACTGAGTAATGTGTGTGTTATGTGCACTTCCATTGTATAACATGCTGAATTAGGCTGTCTCACAGTAATGGCTCTCCGGAACAATAAAACACATGCAGAATATACATATATCAGGCCATAATCAATACACAATCCTTACTCTCGAATGGAAGTCTAGCGTGACCTATTTAATTCTGCTGCTAGAAAATATTGATTTCGATCAGCAGTTCCTTGGAGGATGGAAGTTATATTTTCTGTGAAACAAGATTAATCACTCACTGCCCTGTTTCCACAGAAGAATTTCTCAAAAAACAAGCAAGTTATATGTCTTGTGTAAACTACAATAAAACTGAAGGTCTGAAGTAAAACATATGAGAATGGATTCTACAAGGAAAGTGAATCATCACTGGGTCCTGGTACACTGTAAGCAGTAGTAACAGGATCTACCACAGGAGTTCTAGTACAACTCTGACAATCATAGGAATTATGACATTGGATACAGCATAATCATTGGGAAAAGATCAGATGGAATGAAAATTGAATAAAACAAAATACCTTTAACTACCCTATGAAATTCTTTTTCACTCTTCCATGAAGTATCCTTACTATACCACATGTCAGGAAAGAATATCTTCAATGACAACCTGTCATCTGGTTCAAGTAACTATGTGTAGCTGACTAGTGCGAAAAATGAAAATATCTATCAAAGTTACATTGGCATATTTCAATAAGAAGTCTGCTGGGGCGACAACAGCAAACCTTGAAAACAACTGCTATTTTTTAATGATTGTCAGCCATGACCACTCCTCTACCCTGCTGTAAAGACAACAGACAATCTGTATCAGGAAAGCACCTGTCATTACAGACAATCAGTTGTACTAAATTACCTGTTATAACTTACTACACAATGTAAAGGCCTTTTGGTTACTAGAGGCTACAAGTCCATTAAAAAAGAAACCTTTAAGGCCTGAGATATCACTATACCAGTACATGACAGGTCATCTTGTATGTATACAAGAAACCATTTACCCTGAGTGACTGATCACCTGTCCTGAGAAATGACTATACATGACCAGTCACCTGGTATAAGAAACCACCTGTCATGAGAAATGGCTATATATGACCAGTCACCTGGTATAAGAAATCACCTGTCCTGATAAATGACTATACATGACCAGTCACCTGGTATAAGAAATCAATTGTCCTGATAAATGACTATACATGACCAGTCACCTGGTATAAGAAATCACCTGTCCTGATAAATGACTATACATGACCAGTCACCTGGTATAAGAAATCAATTGTCCTGAGAAATGACTATAGTGCCCAGTCACCTGGTATGGGAAATCACCTGTCCTGAGAAATGGCTATATATGACCAGTCACCTGGTATAAGAAATCACCTGTCCTGATAAATGACTATACATGACCAGTCACCTGGTATAAGAAATCACCTGTCCTGATGAATGACTATACATGACCAGTCACATGGTATAAGAAATCAATTGTCCTGAGAAATGACTATAGTGCCCAGTCACCTGGTATAAGAAATCACCTGTCCTGAGAAATGATTATAGTGCCCAGTCACCTGGTATAAGAAATCACCTGTCCTGAGAAATGACTATACATGACCAGTCACCTGGTATAAGAAACCAACTGTCCTGAGAAATGACTATACATGATTGGTCATTAGGTACAAGAAACCACCTGTCCTAAGAACTTGGTCACTTGGTAAAAGAAACTACCTGATAGATGAAATCTTTTGTCAATTTTCTGACATTTTTTCAAGTATTCAAAAAGATAAAATATCATTTATAGAACCTTGTTAAAAGAACAATCTAAAACTTATAAAAACTGCATTCTCTGAAATTTATAGGATTTCATCCACATGTAGTCCTGCCTCAAACAGATGTGGGAAATTCAAACCTAATGTATGGTTGTTTTGATAATGTTATGAGTTGCACTCATGTACAAAGTCTAAAGATCAAACCTGCAAGTGAAACCTAGAATAGTGATCAGATATTCAGCTCAATTTGAAGTGCATCACATGATTAACATCTATTATTGATGACTTTTTCTAAGTGTCCATTACATAACTCTCTGATAACAAGATAAGGCATATCTGTGGTTTAAAACATACCACAGCCATTTTAGATCAACTCATGAAGTCGAGACAGTGTCACTGGAAACACTGACAGAGTTACTGAAATAATATAACCGATGAAATTACAGTAAAACCTGGTTAAGTTGAAGTTTTTGGAACCATTTCAATAGTTCCAGGAATACTGAGTATTCAAACATCTGTGAACACTCAGTCTTCATCAGTGATGTAATTAATACTTTATTTAATCTATAATTAGGCAGAAGTTTCGACTAACTTATATTTTGTCTGGAATTTCTCGGAAGGGAAATTTGTCATTCAGGGCAAAATAAAACACACAGACAGCATGTCATAAGAATGAGGTTAGAATTAGAAATACTATGCACCATCTCATATCAACAACTTTAAATGATAATAAATGTTGTTTCCATGTTTATATTATTGTCCAGTGTTATAAACATCATCCTCTTGTGAAAAGTTACAAACATGCATGGAGAACCATCTTGGTTACTCTAATCTCTACCATCCCACTATATGCCATTTCATAACTTGCCTTTACATAGAATAATAACTTCTGTTTGAACAGCAGTATGTCAAACTCAAATTCAAATATACCAAAATTTACAAAATAAAACAAATTACATAGCGGATGGCAGTATGGGAATGTAATCATGTCACCATTATCCCGTAATTATCTGCTCTCCTGTCAGACACTGCATGTACAAATTAACAGGATTTATTGGAACTGGTATAAATATTCTGATGTTGGACGAACTCAGATGTGACGCAGGCAAATTCTAGCATGTGTGACACCTGTTTGATGAATAGGAGGGGAAAAACTATGAAGGTGATGGGGCAGGGATAAAAATGAGTTTAAGGTATGTGGGATAATAAAGGGATATATGTTTGTAACATGGGATGTATTACATATATAAGGATACAGTAAGGAAAAAGTAACAAACAGGGGGTATTCAAGTAATGGTTTTATTGTATCATGGCTCAAAAAATTCAGCTCCTTTACCAGCTATTTCACTTTCTCTATTGCCATGAAAGGGAAAATCTGTCCTTGAACACATGCGAGTAAGTTTCTTACTTGGCGTGGGCTTAATGCTACTGAATGAATCTAGTACTGGAAAATAAACTATCGTGTGGTACATGTGCAGCAAAAGCAAAACAATCTAAGTTGTTCTACAACATTGTCAGAATCAATGTGTAAGGAATGTCTGATGATTTTGGGGGTTTTATTTATCATCTTTTGCAAAAATGTTTTTTCTCTTTTTTTTTCTCTTTTCGTATACACAACATGTATTATTTTAACATTTATATAAACTAGCTGAAGACATCGGAATAGGGTATTGGCATATCTGGCTTCAGGTGTTGGTGCTTTCCATTCATTTTTTAGCTATTCATGATATACAACAGCTGCAGTAAAGGATGAAACAGCTCTAATAAAATATGAGTATTGTAAAAAAAAAAGTTTTTCACTTGTCAAGTAGGAAGAAAGAATTTTCACAGATAAATGCTTTTCAGTGGATTCTTGTGAATCCCATCACCCTTCACGCCAACCATGCTTTCTCCAGTGATAAAGTATAACATAACCCTCTTATGCTTCACTGACAACCACCAAAATCTAATATAATGTAGAACTTACATTATCATACTATGTTGTTAAATAACAACACCTGTTTTAGGGCTCATAACATATATTGAACACAAGATTTTCACTATTCTTGAATAGGATGACTTATCAATATATGTATCCCTCTTTCATCATATATAAGAGTTCAGAAAGGAAGATATTGGTTCTCAAGATCTATTTGAAAAAAAAGCTTCTTTAATGTTTCAGATAAAAAGAAAAACATTTCTTCAAAATCTACCCTGCATATGAAAAAATCACATCTTGAAAGAAGAACTACCATTTTAAAAAGTAGACTTACATTTGCGCAGTGCGGACTGGACAAGATTTATGCAAGGACGAACACTGGACGTCCCAGACAGTCTCAATAGTAGCTGGTGGCACATGTAGGGCTGTGAGACTGACTGTTTGGTAGCCACGGTACTCATTTAGACGGATGGATGTTGTCCATTGTACATTTATAGTTTGTGAAACTGAAAGGATATAAAGGATAATCATGTATTTAGAATATTTTTAAACCACTCTTTAAATATGTGAAGATTTTTTTGCTGCTTTATCATAATGGTATACCATTTCATGTAGAATAAAAAAAATGGGAAATTCCAATTAATTTTATTAGTTGTCACAATCACTGCACACACTCTAATTTTTCAAGCTAGTACATCTGACATAGTTTGATCTATGTTATTTTTTGATATTTCAAAACAAGCAAAGTGTTGATAAAGAACTGAAATAATGGTTCAAGGAAATAGTGCTTATAATTCTCCATGTATACCTTTATATACTAAGAAACATGCTATGAAAAGTTATTATATGTGACACATAGATGTCTATTGATGTATTGCCAAACTGAACAAGAAATATTTCAAATTACCAATTTTAAGTGGGTTTTTTTTAAAATTTTCATCAAGAAGATGGTAACTTTACTATCTAGAAACAAAGACGCTTTCCTTTCATTAACTTGAATTCTATTTTAATAACATGGCATGGTTCGATGTCTTTCAGAAAGTACTACTTTGTCTGACTTATTTCAAAGAAATAATCCATCATCAACATAGCTCTAACAACATGTGTGCCTTTAATATTTCCATAACATTTTTTCTTTCACACATGTAACTCAAAGCAGGTATAACTTCAGCTTTTTAAGCCAGTGTAGGTGCAGATTACAATGCAGCTGGCACACTGTAAACAACATTTCTTTGTGTGTTCTTCAAATATCACTATACCATCGATCCATATACATATACATCTCAAACCTGTAAGAACGCAATGTTAATATCTCCTTTTACAATATTAATGAATAATATGTAATAAACTTCCAATTTATGCCCATGTCTTACAGGGCACTGAATAAGATTTCTGAAGGGTTGCCTTTTATAACATGACTTATTTATTAATCATCAATTTGTATAATTGATAAAAGTCTGTGCATTGAAATTAATTGAAATGATAGTTTACAACATGTTAATGACAATGGTATCATAGATTCCATTCTGTTCTTGATCAATATGATTTGTCAACAGCATAAATTGTTACATAATTCATGTATGTTATATCATCTTGTTATAAAAGATGTGTTTATGAAACACTATGCCCTTAGATGCAACAAGATTCTGAAGTGAGACATTAAAACTGTATTATGTAAGACATGTGCTAACTGCATGCACATTTTGTGAAAAACTTCATTGTCTTCATTGCGGTAATGTTTTTTTTTACTTTCAAATATAGGTCAAATGTCACTATCATGGTCACATGGTCACAGACTGTGACACAACCGGAAAGGTTTTGTCACAATGAACACACGTGCCAAAGATGAAAACCCTACCTCGTACGGTGTTATACCTATGGGCAAGGTTAAAGTTGACAGCAGACAACAGACGACGGCACAAAAGATATGCCCCTGAATCTTTCGATCCGGGGGCATAACAATAGAAAATGAGAAAATTATTGTTTTTAAATGCAACAAAATAAGGAAATAATTGGGTTTTTAGACCGAGGTCGGTTTTTCCGGTAGGAATTTTACGCGACTTAAAAGGAAATTATTAACATTTTGGGGGAATTTCTCAGTTTCACTTTCATTTTCAACAATAACGGATGACTTGTCAAATTTCATTAATATATATAAGATACCTAAACCTTATTTAAAATCAAACCTCAAATAAAAAAAAAAGATTCACTGCGACATATGGATGGGTCCACTGATCAAAAGCTAAAAAAAAATACGAAGTGCGCTTAGACAAAAGATCTAGGATGGTTTATTATGAAGATGCTGTCTGCTAAAAGAATTATTTTATCTTAATGTTACATTCTAAAAACAGTTTTGACATATGACTTACCTTGTCCAAAAGATTCTGTTAGTGTTAATAAAAGTATTATTGTGGTCGATGCTATGTCACTAATGTAGGTTTTATCTCTCGACCTAGGATAATCTTTCTCCATATTGCTCTCGCTTTTTGGTGCAAATCACCCCGGAAGTTATGTTGCATCAGGGGAGGTAACTAGATCGATCGGTTCGGTTACAGCCTCTTAATCGAATTGAGCTTTTAATAACCCGAAAAGGGAAAAATAAATTACAGAAACAGAAATAAAAAAATTCAAGATAATGAATAAATAAAAAATTGAAATAGTCCAGTGTTGCATTTCTGTGTACTTCAATAATAAAATTTTCCAATATATTTAAATTTGACCAACAGATTATATAACAACGCACACTAAACAATATAATACGGCATGCTGATTACATTGCCTTGGGGTTCTATTACAGAATGACAAATTGGAACAATGTTATATGAATAAAATGAAGTTAAATTGCTAGACGCCCATAACGTAATATCCAAATTTATCGACTGACTGATTAAATTGTGATTATTGCAGTAAATTTAACTTTTCATTTGTTTACAATTTTTAGGCCTATTTAGATTCTCAACTACAATTACTGTTCATATCAGTATCACGTGTACAACTAAATCACATGTATAACTAAATCAGGTCTTGGTAGTTTTTGTGTTGATCGACTTATACGATTTACATATTCAGACCCGCTCAGAAAATAACGTTGCAAGTTTAATATCATTCGGGATAAGGGACTACCGTTGCATATAACAAACGAAACATTTAAGAGAAACTATTTCAATGTTTTAATCACACATTTTCTAATAGTATTGTCTGTATATTCTTAATATTTTAAAGATATGTCATTTGCCTCACATTTCTATTCACAAGTACATTGTTTTGACATGTGATACATTAACCAGAAATTACCACAGTTTATCATTGTAGTAAAAGTCGTAGTAGAATTGGAATCGCCCGTAAGTAACTATACAGTCTCATTGTCGTTATGATTATATTAACCTATATCCATTAAACACATGCGTCTGCGGTGTGTAACCTGGAAGGCCTTTACTGAAGGTTTGTCATTAACGGTTATATTTATAGCTATCAGTGAAGTAAAATTCCATCTTTTTTTCTCGTTGAGCAAATGAATGTGTCGTTATGCGTGTCTTTTGATAATTTTAGTCGTCCTCAAAAATAATGATAATGACGATAGTCATACCAGCTTTAGCTTTTCGACAAATCTACATACCAAATGATCACCATGTGACATACTAAAAATGACATTGAAAGGAATGTTTACAATATGTAATACATTTTGTTAAGTAAATAGATTGATACAAAGATTAATTAAGGTCATTTGATATACATCCTTGATACTCCAGGAGTTAGGACCACTTTCGCTCTCTGCACCCAGTAAACTTATTAGTGATCATAACCCCTGGAATTTCGAGGATGCGTAATATATAAACACCAGACTTGTCAATCAGAATTTTTAATTTGTGCGTGGTTTATAATGAGATAGTATGTTGTATTATGTATCGTTACACATTTTCACATGTGGCGTGAGTTAATCAGAATTTCGTTGATTAAATTTGCATTGTGCAGTTAAATGGAAAAGATGTTTCATGTGGGTTGCACGCTCCACTAAACTTTGAAATATGCTGTCTTATCTCATTGACCAAATGAGTTTTAATACATTCCAGGGAGACCCCTTCCCCACCCTACCCGCCTTTAAAAAACTTCATTCTTATAAGGATAGTCCTATTCTATATCCAGAAAACGTAACATCATGATTTATTCATTATGTAGTTCTCTAATATCTCGCAATGCACAGGAAATAAAAATGCGATTAATTTATGTCTGTTTTGTGTCTTCAGGGACGTGTGCATTCCTATATTATGTCAGCAGAGTTCAACTTTAACCATATTACTTCTGATATAGCATTATTACAATCAACGAAAATCGTCACCCTGCATCCGCCAACGAAAACACCTTTTTACCTTTCGACTATCAAACTATTGTTTAAAGATCGGCCGACAAGTGAACTGCACATTCAATGCAAGTTTAGAATTATAAACTGCATTATATTGCTTGCGGTTCTGAATAGTGGAAACCTTGGAGGTAATTGACGAAAATTCAAATTGGTCGAAAGTAATGTCCAAATCTAGAAAGGGAAATATACCAAGACGTTAATCCAAAACATTTAATAAATGTCCATTTAGTTGAATGATTTCCAAAAGAACTCGAAAATTTTACAATAAACAAACAAGTGAATAATTTAGAATTAGATATACTATAGCCAGGTACGCTTATATAAGTAGGAACGCGCATTAATTGAATAGTGTCAGAAAGTTTACGTTACCAATAAAACAGGAAAAGCTACTGGAAAGCATACAATATGCATATTGTAAAAAACCATTGCTCCTTTTTCACGATCAATATTTGTAACCGTGCACTTTGATTAATTGAATACCAGAGTATAAGAATCAATAGAAATATCAAATGACTACATATACGTTGATGAAATCTATCAACAGATTTACTCATTATACACACAGAATACGCCTTAATACAAAATATTACTGTGCTGGTTCAGAAAAAAAATAATATTTGGCAAAATGCACGTGGCATGACGTCATTGTCCGCCATATTGTGTACCGATGAAAGAATCATTATTTGATGATGACTTGTTGCTGTGCTTCTGCTGATAATAAGGTTAGACCATTGAAGGTAATCTTGATAAATATTTATTGTGATAATACTGAAAGTATAGTGATACATCACCAACATTCTAAACGATTTACTTCTTTGATCTAAAGCTTACTAGGCCTATGTATGCCTGCAAATTTGCATGTCTCTGACATTTCATGAACTAAAGCCAGTAAAGGACAAGTAACGCATTTACAGGGAAGGTCACATATTTGAATGACAGCGAATTGGATAAATTAATTTCCAGTCCATTTATTTATTTATCATTTTTTAATTATGCTTATGTGCCGATTAAAATTTCCCGCCTGTTAACTTGTCCCTTTCAACTGACCACAACGTCTTGGTCACAAAAACGTTTGCACATTTTGACAACCATGTGAGCCTATAAACTCTGCTCAAACTCGAAAACAATTCGTTTACTTTCTTGTCTTAATGATAAAGATAAATGTATTTTACTAAAGCAGTTCCAATGAAGTGGATATATAAGTTTAGATTGTAGTCGAAAGTTAATGGACTAATTATCAGCAATTTTCACTTTCGACTTGTCTTGGTCGGGGCTGTCACAACCTTTTGGAATATTTGGACTGGTAGAACATGCTAAATGCTCTACGTTCCATGTGAAGCTTACTGAATCAATGTGAAATGTTAATAGATAAATGTGAACTGCTTCATGTGAAATGGTAACATGAAATTCTTTATAAATAATGCCAAAGACTCTTAAAGCATTTTGAAGCAAACATGATCTGGAATGTTGTGTGTATCCATTTTCAACAACTACAAATAAAATATTTATGTTATAATATGGAGACCTAGACGATGAATGTTTGAATCATATAACAGTAGTCAGCACAAAACATTTAACAGGTCATACTGACTTTCCATACAGTAAGGGAGTGAGGTATTGAGATACAGCAGTTATTTTTAGTTCACCATACAAATCATAATATTACTTCTTAGGTCTATTATATCATCTTACAAGGTTAGGGTACTTTTTGTAAATCAGAGTCCAAAAACCATATCTCATATATTTTGGGAATGTCATAAAGTTCAAAATTTACTACAGAGCTTAGAAATACTCTTAGAAGCACTTCTGATTCCTTTCACTATAAATGAAGGATCACTAATATTCAGTTTCTGGCCAATTAGAAAATGAGTTCAGTCAAATTCATAATGAAATTAACATCATCATTAAACATTACATTTACAGAGCTAGATGGTTTGACAACTCCTTAAACATAAATTCTCTGATCAATTTAATAAACGACCATAACAATGTAAAAAAATACATAGCAACGGCTAAGGGTGATGCTTCTCTTGAAAGTTTCAACAGAGAGTGGGGAAAATGGAAAAAAGAACTTTTACTTGTTTAGACTTAAATTGAAGAATTTTCTGTCATTTCTGTCTATACCTATTCTTATCAAACAATGTCTTGGGAACTCTGATAGTGGATTTAGAGCAAATGTTTTCAATAATGCAATTTAATTTGATACTTTTTGAGTAAGACCTGTTTCTCTCTGATCCATTCACATTTGTCCCTATGTCAATTGTCTTTGTGCTTATATATCTTTGTTTTTGTCTGTATGTATGTCTTACTCAATCTGATATTTCCTGTCTCGGTGCAGTGTCCGCTATTTGTTTTTTTTGTTTTTTGTCTGTCTTTGTAATTACCTCTCTCTCTCTCTATTTCCTCTCTTTAAAGATAATAACACAACACATGACTATTATGACTAGTTTTATTCCAGTGTTCTAAACTGACATCTTGGATCAGTTGAAATCTTGTGCATAATACTAAGGTATTTGAAAACATGAATTAGGACTGTATGATATGTGTGAAATGTTTGATACTAGTGGTTGTATATGTTTGTGCTTTGAAAAAACAGAAATATAGGAAAAATATAGAAATATAAGTTTGAAAAAAACAAAACTTACAAGATTAGAGCTAAGATACAATTTTGACTTAAGTTGAAGTAAAGAACAATACATTAAAAGAACATTATGATAAATGGTCATCATTATTTTGACATTTCTTCCTATTTTCATATAACAGGCTAGTGAAGAATCCTTGGATGATGGGCCAATAGAAAATAGACAATGTCGGGATGTGATCTTTCTCCTCATCTTCATAGCATTTATATGTGGAATGGTACAGGACTACATTTTCTACTTATTCTTACCCAACAATCTATAAAACATGTAGTCAGTCAACTAACATCTCTAAATATTTTCTTCAATATCAATAATATAAAACTCAAAAAAAAAATGATACTATTAATTTAGCAATATTTGTAAGTTTAAATGCTGTACTCAGAATTAAAGATAAACACACCATGTCAAAAGATGATAATTCACCATTTTAAAACACTTTTATTTGATTTTAAGTTAATTGAAATGTCTCTCTTGTGATTTGTTTACCTGATATGCTTTCTGTTGTAGGCTGGTGTGGCATACATGGGGATAATCCGAGGAGATCCCTATCGACTTATCTATGGTGTGGACAGCTGGGGTAACACTTGTAATCGGAACAATGACCCAATTACAGGTGCCATTTATTCAGGAAAGGATATGACAGGCATGAAGTAGGTTATACAAAACACAAGAATCATACTAACAAAATTCTTATTCTGTAACATCTCAACAACTAATAATAATCTAATCATGATGGATTTGGTATGTTGTTCACTGTTTTCAATGAGGTAGCCACTGGCTAAAACAAGGCTACCCAAACATAAAATGACCCTGGTTGTTCATAGGCAATTAACCTAGAATATTTAGATATACTCAACTATACAGAACAGCAATCTATATTTTAATAATGGGCAACTCAATTATGTGGTTTGACTTTTCATTTAACATTGATAACATTAATAATGTAATTAGAAACTACACCTTTCAGGAAAAGCAAAACCAAGATAGACAAAGCTTGAGGTTGACCATACAACAATGGCCAATACAGATTGCTATAGGTGTATCTTTAGTCAAGATCTGACTTGTGTGGTTCAAATCTCTGTACCCATGATAGTTTATGTTTCTCAGGAAAGTGAGATATGGATGTGTCTGCTTTTGCATGGCTGTGTCCTTGGACAGGACACTTTACCCACATTGATCTGGATAGCATGTGACAAGCCTCCCATATGTTGTTGAGTGAGATAGCCAGTTAAGCTACTACAAGGCTACAAGGAGACTTTGCCTTCATATGACTTGGGCAATAAACAAACAAATTTAATGTATTACAGTTGTTTAATCATTAGATACATTCAACTACACAGAATAGTAGTTTGTGTTTAAATAAAGGACCCTTGTGATATGGAATTGAACATGACATTTAACATGCTTCAATCAGCTGTGTTTGAAAAGTTTTTTCGTTGTGTCTGTGTAACTCTATTGGTTCCACTTTCACAATCAATAACTGAATGCATGTAACAACAACAGATTTGGTGGTAGGGTGGCGCAGTGGTAACACACTCGCCTTTCACTTAGCCGACCAGGGTTCGATTCCTGGAACGGACGTGAAAAGGTAAGGGGTCACCTACCCGACCACGTGGGTTTTCCCCGGGTTCTCCGGTTTCCTCCCACAATAAGACCCCTCGCACGCTTACATCCAGGCCAACAAGAGTGATTAGTATAAGTTGACATAACTTGTTTCGCAATTGTTGTAAAATAAATAAAGTTTATATTTATATATAACAGATTTTATTTGAGATGTGTGTTTCTTTTATTAAAAATATTGTAAATTTTGAAATTAATGTTTATAACAAATACCTTATTAGGAGGCTTTGTATTAAAAATATATTGTTTTTGTTTTCAGACATTCAATACTCAATAAAAAATCATAAACATACTTTACAGTGGGAAAACTCTCAAAATCACATCAAAATAACCCTTCACATAATGAATCAATAATGTCCTTTGCATGTTTACGATAAGATAATATCATTTCTGAACATGAATCATATTTCAGTTCTGGCATTAATTGATTTCACATTATTATTTGATCACTTTCCATCATATTAGTGTTTACACATATTTTGTTATAACCCAAAAACAGAGCATCATAAGCATGGTTTTCTTTCTTGTTGGTAGGAAAACATTTTACTTCGACCAAATGTATTTTGCAAGATACATTCCAAATGGTCCCCTCATGCAAAAGAAGAAATTCTTAATGACTTGTGTGAATAACTGCCCTGGTCAACTCCTTGACCAAGAGTCCAACTTCAATAACTACTATAACATGACTGGAAACAATCTTTGTCGCCACGATGTCATTCCCTATGAAGATCTGCGTGAGAAATGTCCACCATTACCTATAATGCCACAGTAAGTACTAATGAATCCACAATCATGACATTTTCTAGTGTAATTTTGAAGTCACATTGTAGTTGTGTCATGATAGTACTTAGAGTTTTCAATTAGAGGTACAATAACTTTAAACAGATGATGGTGATATAATTCCTATCCCATTACAGTGTCAGTCTTTTCCATCGCTGTATACCAAAGACTATCGCTGACACGGCAGCTACGTTGGCCAAATCCTTTACCAACATCTTAGGCAGTGTCAGTCTGGGAGACGGCATTCCCCAGGTAATGCTTAATGCTCACAAGTGACATCTGTTAGCATGAAAATGCTTTTCAATTTGGCATCAGATTTCTCAAGTGAGGGATTCTAAAAATTTAGCTTTGTGAACCTATACTTTTACACAAATAAGGATATTCACTACTTTTGATATGTAATGGTGTTGTGGCATTGTGTGTTGACTAGTTTGAGTTGTAACTCCCGTACCCCCGTAGTGAGGGGATAGAGCCAATGCTGTTGATTTATTCTGTTATTCTGTTTCCAAGTGCTTTTTCGTTGTTGTCTTTTCCAGAAAATCCTGTCTGATTTGAATACAGCATGGAGAGAAATCCTTTATCTGTGTGGGATAGCATTTGGTAAGCTTTGACATTGAATATATAGTCTTTTATTCTACCTTGACCCTTCAGCAATAGTCAAATTGGTACTTATCAACATGGTATGTATGCAGGTACTTTATCCATTTCAGACAATGGCTTGGATAATGTATTACTGACTGAGTCAATACAGACTATCTATAATCTGGTTCTGAAAGCTTTAAAGACAAAAACATGTTTTAAAAGACTGTGCAATATTAATGACTCACTGAAGTTGAAAACGTTTCTTTCCAGAACTGAACAAACAAGTTGTTTTATATCATGTTTGTGACTTGATGAGCTGAGGTCCTTGAGGGATTTCAAGAAAATGTTTTGAAATGCTCTTTCAGAATGTTTTGTTGTTTTTACCGCTGAATTTGTGGTATCCTCAACATGATTTTGAAAAAATACGGGAAAGTGTTTTCAAGGTTAAATTCTAGAGTATTAACTATTTATGGTATGTAAAAAGTCCTAAAATGCAGCTTGAAACTGAATTCATCTCAAGGTAAAATGACTAATCATTGGCCTTTGTCTGAATCATTGGTTTTAGCTAAATCTATAACCTGTTTCTCCTGCAGCCACATCCCTGCTGATTGTCCTGATGATGTGGCTCTTAGCTGCTATAATTATCTGGGTCATGATTATTGCTGTATGTGCCTTCACTCTTGGTCTCACCGCCTACTCTTGGTAAAAAAATTGTTTTTACAGATTTATAAGTAGCATTATTTTTTTTCTGCTGATAGAAGTGTCAGATTTTTGTGAAAAAGTATGATGAGATTGATATATTAATACTACAGATAGAACATTAGGATTTGCAATAATGTTACAATATCAATTACTAGGTATGTTAATTGCTCAGGGTCACACTGGTGACTGACAGCATGCCATATAAAAAGCTGGTGTTAATAAACTCTGGTCTAAATCAGTGTCATCACAATAAACAAAATATAAACATTGGAGTCAAGTTGTATGCTAACGTGTGCCCAAATAAAAAAGATATCATTTGTGTATCTACAAATACGTTCCATTCTTTTATAATTACCGGCCTCAATGGGACTCTAGTGAAATTTGTTAACTGAAGGTTCCTGCTATCATTCCACTGCTGATCTTTAACAGCAAAAACATTGGTTCTCCTGTTCTCTTTTCATATTATTTTCTAAACACTAACAGTTATCTTGTTAAAATTACACAGAAAAGGGACCTAAATGATTACATTGTCATTTTGTTCATTCAGATTTTCTGGTCAAATTTACACTCTTTCCTTTGTTGATATCTGAATTTGCAATTTTCTGTGTTAGAGCATTGATTCAAATTTACCAATTGTTGTTTCCATAAAGTCTTTAATGAAGTCAATGTTGGTGTTGTTTAATTGAGAAGGATTTGTACTGTATATCAGACTGATGTTACATTGTAAAACTTAATATCTGTCTACAGGTATTCTTACTACGGGTTGTATAAAGATTATAATGCACTGACAGCAGAAGAGCAGACAAAGGAAGCTTCACAGAAAGTACAAACCTGGCTGATATACTCCGGCATAGCCTCTGTAATCACGGTAGGACCAATACTCTCAATCTGTATATAAAGGGACTAGGTTATTATCATTACTTTTTTTACCATTTTGTCAAAATATTCATGAACATTTTAACACAATCAAATGGCATGTTATTCAATGTTCACTGATGTAATGTTTTTGGGTGCAAATGCATGTAATGTGACCTATGTTACAAGGTCAATAAATGACAATGGAATGAAGTGTCAAGGATATCATACACACACTTGATGATTATACTATGACTTAACAATAGAGATGATATAGATATCCTGCCACATGAATTAAAGAAAAACAAGGATAATCATGTTTTCTGAATCATTCCAAAATGATGGATCAAGTGATAAAAAGTTTTATAAAAATGACAAGTTATCACAAAGGTTTTATTTTAGCGGGGCCACAATAACTCAATTGGTTAGAGCGTTCACTTACATAAATTCAGGTCAAGATCTGAGGTGCATGGTTTGACGTTCTCTACCTGTGGCAGTTTGTGTTTCTCAGGCAACAGACCAGTGTGTGCTGTCATGGTAGTGTTCTTAGGCAAGACACCAAACTTATTGTTCTGGATGTCATGTAATGGGCCTTCCATATGTTGTTCAGTGAAGAAGTCACCAGCAACTAAAAGGAGACCCGCCATCCCACAATGATACTGGCTGTTCATGCAGAGAAACAAAATTAAGCAAATGATAAATATAAGTGAAGCTTAGTTCACTTTGCCAATTAGGCTTCACAACACCATTATCCAACTTCACAGTGCAAACATTTCTTATATTTTCTTCTTCAATCTATTTTGCTTGCTGTTGAATTTAGCTTATATTCTGTGATCATATCTACATTTTATCATGTAGGTCATTGTTTTGCTGCTCCTGTTTATCATGAGGAAAAGGATTGCTTTGGTGAGTTATTGTGATCACTGCTGTTACTAAGTGTCTACCATAATCAAAAAGATATTTATTTCCTGTTAATAACCTCTGTTACATAAACAAATAAGTGAAAAATTTAAAAAAAAAAAAAAAAAACCCATTCACGTAACATAAAAGGTGGAAGGTCTAGATTACCCCTACTACAATTTTTTCTGTATTGAAAATCAGAGTGAAAATGATTTATAATGATCATTCTTTAGATACATCAGGTACAGATTAATTTTAACTAAAGTTTTGACATTAAGCATAACTTACCATAACTGAAACTAGTAAACATTTAAGTGTACAATTATTAGCAAGCATAAATTACACCTACTATTAATTTTTCATTTTAATTTCATTTCTAAAGTTGATGAAAATTGGAAACATCATTTTTCAATATTAAGAACAATGCATGCCCTAAAATATTAATATCCCTATGATTTTGTATATAAGACATTTAGAGGAAGATGCCAGGCTTTAACATATATGTATTTCTATCTGAAAGGTTGTCCAGTTGTTTGATGAAGCTGGGAAAGCCATTAAAGCAATGCCATTACTCCTTTTTCAGCCATTATGGGTAAGATGTAAGGTCTAAGGGAACTTTTCCAAACTAGTATTTTGCATGAAAATTATCCTGACCAAAAAGCATCCCTAAATATTTAATACATGCATGAAACATTTCCTGTACAAAAAAATTCTATTACATGTTTGATTTATTGAAATAACAATTTCATATATATTTTACAGTGAGAGAAAGCTTGATATTTAAGTTGTCGATAAGTGAAAAAAGAATGAGGTTTAACTGGAAGATCCTATATCTTCTTAATAAAGAAAATAAATATACAGCAATTGTCTTGGTCCGTGATCATAAATTAAGAAGAAGATACAAAATTACTTAGGAGTGATTACATTGCAGACATTGGCAATGTTGTTAGATGTCCTGTTGACTTTTCCAGACACTGCTGGCATTATTGGGATTGGTTACTTGCTTGGCTGCTGTGGCTGCCTACATAGAAACATCAGGTAAGTTCGTCCTGTTACTGTATTAAGTCTATCCTATTCCTCAAATGGTGTTCTCCAATACTGGGAAATGCATGATGTTCTCTCATTCATTTATAAATCGGTTCATTATTATTGGTTGCGTTAGAAAGTCATTACACCTTTATGTAATCAGATATATATGTATGTCATTGTAAGACGAAAACTTATCACTGCTTATGATTTTTCTTTTCTTTCATATTATAAATCCTTGATAATGCTGACATTAATAGGGATACCAGTAGTGGATGAGGCCAATAGTACTGTCACCTTTCAATTTGAGGAACATTGGAATGTAAGTTAATACATGAGGGGGGGAATCTTATGTTTAGTGGACGGACTGATGATAAATCCTCTATAGTTATTTTGAATATTTCATGTACCCTTTTGCCTGCATTAGGCATTTGATACAAAATTACTTATTTTACACAACATTCTCTAATAATTTGGTGCTTCAATAACATGTGCATCACAGTATTTTAATTAAAATCCTGATATACAAATGGATGATTCAACATGCTTGATGATGATGATGATGATGATGATGATGATGAAGCCGGGAAAAATATTGAAAATTACTTTGCATGGTAAATTATTGTGTTCTTTTCAATAAAAAAAATTGTAATTATATGCAAAGTGATGTTTCTCTGAATCATGCATACATTTCTTCAGACTGAAGCAAAGGAAACATGTAATCTTGTTGTTGTTTTCATACCTGCTCCTTGTGACCTCTATTTTAATGTAGTATGTGCGATGGTACCATTTGTTTGGATTGCTATGGACATCAGCATTTGTGACAGCTTGTCAGGACATAGTGATTGCAGGGGCAGTTTCTATATGGTTCTTCACCAGGTATGTTTAACTTTAGAATTAAAGTTCAGATTTGTTACAACTGAGCATATCTTATTGGTTTGTCATCATGCTTTGTTGATTGTTTAGTGAACCACATTAAGTGAATGCTATTTAAAACTTTGTAATTTTACAAGACAGCTGCTTATTAGTCTATCAAAAATCAAATAAAAACATTGTATAGTAAATTGTCATATTTTTCATTTGAAGGAGGAGTTTTCATTAACTGTCCAGTTATTATTAAAGTGACAATTGACCTTTCAGAAATAAAAAAAAGCTTGGAATGCCAATATGTACATCAATGAAACGTCTCATAAGGTAAGTTTTACTGTGTGATAACTATGTTACTTTATTGATCAGTGTATAGTTTCTGTCGAATGTATTTCAATAAGACAGAAAGTTTGATGTTCTCCTTTCACATCCACAGATACCACTTAGGATCCGTGGCATTTGGGTCATTCATAATTGCCCTTGTGAGATTACTTCGAATTATTCTAGGATACATACAAAGAAGGTAGGATTTTTCTTGATATTCATCATTAATAAATGAAAATGTGATGTTATTCCTGCTTGGTATCAACCAGTAAATTAGTCTTCCCACTGACTGGGGGGAAACTATAATTATGTATTGTGTCCATCAGTCTGTCTTTCCAACAATCCTTCACTATCTTGTCTGGGGCTCTATCTCCTATACTACCTGTTACTGGAACTTAATACTTAAGCATGGGTTAACATTGGTGAGGTTATGCATCATATATCAAAAGTAGGTAACTCTGAACTACATCAGAGAAAAAGTTCTTCCATACTCTAACTCCTGCATTTCTTGTCACTAAAACATCTTACTTTGGGTATGGGCACACTTAGGTGAGGCAAATTGTCAGTGGGGATTGTAATTCACTGAATTGTGTTGTTCAAAATTAATATAAAAAAGCAATAGCATACTCAAAATGTTTATATTATAGGTAATATAAGAGATGCTCTAAAATCATATGCAAAATACTAATATGTTTGTATTCATAACATCTGAATTCAACATTCATTGAAACATTCAGAATTTCAAAATGCTGAATTACCGGTATGGTTTTCTTCAGGCTGAAAGGCAAAGTAGGCAAAGTGGCAGAATTTTTAATGAAAATGCTGCAATGCTGTCTCTGGTGCTTTGAGAAGTGTCTTGCCTTTCTCAACAGAAATGCATACATAGAAATAGGTATGGTTTTGACTGTCATGTGTTTGTAGGAAAAAATACTGTGTACATGGAACAAAAACAAAAAACTTCAGAGCAAAATTACAAGAAAAACACATTTTTAAAAGTTTTTTATTATTGCATATAAGTATCAAGTGTATCACCTTATGAACAATGACAGTTGGTTTTGGATGAAATACTCACATAATTGACTTTAGAGTTATCATATAGCATTTACTACACACCCATAGCAAAATCTGGTGCTGAAAAACGGGATTTCACTGACTGTCTTTACTGTCACTGTCATTTCTTCCCACCATCTCGTGTACATGTTAACAAAGTGAACTGCTTCGTTTTCAAATTATTGTGTGATATATCAGCACTAAATTTGATAGGGTTTTCTAGAATCAAAGAAGTGGTCAAGCTGGACATTTGAAATAGAATGAATATCTGAATGGAAACATAACTGTAAATTTTTAAATGCTGTCATAATATTGCATGAAAAACTCAAAGGACAATGTTGTTTAAAATGTTTAAAATGTGATAAAAAATTAAGCAAAGTCAGTTTTTCATCAATGGTTTAATGAGTTAAAGAGATACCCAGTTATCTTCAGAAGTATAGTGGTACTCTTTCTTGTCCATAGCTATCTATGGGTACAGCTTTTGTAGATCTGCCAGGAAAGCCTTTATGGTGCTTCTAGCAAATGCCTTACGTGTGGCAGCAATCAACTCCATCGGTGACTTTGTTCTCTTTCTTGGCAAGATCTGTTGTGTGTGTATAGTGGCTGTGGCTGGAAATGAGTTCCTCAAGGTAATCAGATCCAATTATACAAATATAAACAAGAGGCCCATGGGCCTTAACGGTCATCTGACAAAAAGCAAGCCAAACCTAGAAAGTGGGTTGAGGTCATTCATTTGAACAAACTTGGTAGCCTCTCCTCCAAGCATCTTACAGGCCCAATATCAGCACTCATGGACTTTTGCTTGTTGAGAAGAAGTCGTTTGTATATTTTAACATATTTGACCCCTGTGACCTTGAAAGTGGGTTGAGGTCATTCATTTGAATAAACTTGGTAGCCTTTCCTCCCAGCATGCTACAGACCCAATATCGGCACTCATAGACTTTTGCTTATTGAGATGAAGTCCTTTGTATATTTTAACATATTTGACCCCTGTGACCTTGAAAGTGGGCCAAGGTCATTCATTTGAACAAACTTTGTAGGGCTCCATGCCAGCATGCTATGGGCCAAGTATTAGCCCCCTAGGCCTTCTAGTATTTGAGAAGAACTTATTTAAAGATTTTGACATATTTGACCCCTGTGACCTTGAAAGTTGTTCAAGGTCATTCATTTAAACAAACTTGATAGCCCTTCATCCCAGCATGCCACAGGCACAATATCAGCAATCTGAGCCTTTTGGTTATTGAGAAGTTGTTTAAAGATTTTAACATATTTGACCCCTGTGACCTTTAAAGTGGGTCAAGGTCATTCATTTGAACAAACTTGGTAGTCCTTCATCCCAGCATGCTACAGGCCTTATTTTAGTTGCCTGGGCCTTTTGATTACTGAGAAGAAGTCCTTTGAAGATTTAAAGACATTTGACCCCTGTGACCTTGAATGAAGGTCAAGGTCATTCATTTGAACAAACTTGGTAGGGTTTCATCAAAGCAAGCTACAGGCTAAATATTAGTTGCCTGTGCCCTGTTATTGAGAAGAAGTCGTTTGAAGATTTTAAGACATTTGACCCCTGTGACCTTGAATGAAGGTCAAGGTCATTCTTTTTAACAAACTTGGTAGGGCTTCATCAAAGCAAGCTACAGGCCAAATATTAGTTGCCTGGGCCTTCCAATTATTGAGAAGAAGTCGTTTGAATGAAAAGTTTACGGACGGCGCACGGCGGACGACGACGGACGAAGCATGATGACTATAGGTCATCGGACCCTTCGGGTCAGATGACCTAATAAAAACTATCTTGTATTCAATTTCATGGATTTTCCAAGCATGAAGAAGTTTACAAACTCTGTATACAGATTTATTCTATTGACCACGCTATTTTCTCATTCATATATCTAAACAATGGATCTCTGATGGTTTTCTTGCAATTTTTAGTAGGATGTCATTTAAACCATTCATATTAAATTGATCATTGTTTTATTGCCAGCATCGAACGGATATTAACTATATCTGGGCTCCCATATCAGTGGCCTGTGCATTTGCCTTTGCAATATCTCACTGCTTTCTCTTGGTTTATGAGGTAAGACCATGTGATGTTATTTGTTCTAACAATGAATATTTAATGGTTCAATAATACTGCATACAAGAAATGTTTGCTGAAATCTAATTTGCCCCATTTCACCCTTTTTTCGCAAATTGGCAAAAATAAGGAGTATAAAGTTTGATGTTAAAGCTGAAATATTCAACACTGTTTGATTAAGTTTTATGTGAGAGTGATAACTTACAGTATATATATCATGATTCTCTGTAAAACGTTAGGAAGCAGAGTCAGTGATTTTAAGCATGAGCTTCATAGATAACACAGATATATTAACTATAAACCAATATCTGAAGATATTCTGGTCACCAAGTTTTGTATACAACATATAACTGTACAATGTTGTACATTATGGATATGAAGTATGATTTCCTTACATGAATCTGGTTAAGATTTGACCTGAAACATTAATTTTAGTTCATATTAAGACTGCGTTACAACATCCATTGACACATGTCATCACATGAAACATTGGCTGTAACTTGGTACAGCAAGCTCCAGATGAGTACATGAATTCAAGGTTACATGATAATATAACTCATGGTGTTTTCATTAATGATGGTCAGTATATGACACACCACGAGACCATAGTGGAGCTAAAAACCAGGTATTTTTAGATGAATAATAGCCAAGGTGCGATCCAGAAACCTAATTTTTGGTACAATGTGATTTTAAGTAAAGTCTTATTATGGTGTTACAGTAATCTACATACCATGTCCAAAATCCTTATGTGAAACAATGTTTTACAAATCAGTTCTTGTCTATCACCTTCCATATTTTTGTTCTATCTAGTGTAAAGCTCAACCTGCACATTGGAAATATCATGAGATACCTTAGGGTAGACTCGTTAAGGTAGACGCATGTTGTGTGGACAGTGTCAAGGTTTTATAAATCATTACATTCAGATTGGCTTTTACTTTACATACTTACTCTCTCCTTGTTCTTCATACTGTAACTATTGACCTTCTGTAGTATTACTGTTGGTATCTTTAAGAATCAAAAGTTTGATTTGCCTTGAATAAACTTTACATTGTGGATAATAAGTCTAATTTCCCATGTTTCTGATGAGTTGAGCTTCATGTTCCCCTTTAAACCTTCAGATAACCATTGACACCATCTTCCTGTGTTTCTGTGAAGACTGTGAAATGAATGATGGAGTGACCAAACCATTCTACATGAGCAAAGATCTTATGGTGAGATTTTCCTTTTAGAATGATACTCTGGATAGGTACATTCATTTACTTTTACAAAGGCGATATTGACAGGGGTTTTCCTAAGCTTTAGAGTAGGACAAAAGAAATGTTTACCCTCATCATAGATGGTTCATGACTGCCCTATCCTCAATTTAGGATAACCCTCGCTTTTTCCAATACAAGCAGATAAGATACAAACAATGAGATACATGTGCATTCTGGAAACCAAAAACAAATTCTAACTTGATTGAATGTGTTGATGATTGCTTTACTATATAGGTTACAGTATAATAATGAGAAACTATTGTCAAAATGCTATATAGAAAACACATTTAATAAATATGTTAATTATTCTAGATTGTGCTAGATTTTATAATATACTTGGTAAGTCATTGAAAAATTTGAAATGGTATAACCACAATATTCTGTGCGTGGATTTCTCATTAACATATGAAGTCTGAATGACATTTGTTATTTGGATAAGCCTATATTTCCCCATAAATAATGCTAATATATTACTCTTACACAGGATTTATTACATGTAGTATGCAATGATGTTCTGTTTGACCTGGTTGTCCTGAAAGTGTTGCTATTTCTATCATATGGGTTAAGAATCATAACAATGATGTAATTTCATCACATCAAAAACCACAAGAAAGCTACCATGCTAAAAGAAAAATTACTATTTACACTATTGTGTTTCTGATTGGTTTTAAACTAACTTTGGCAAGTGTTCAGTAGTGATCTGATCCTAGTGTGCTGTTGCTGGTAGTCAATGTTATGAGTGTGGTAGATATTCCTGGTGACGCTAATGTGAGATCTAGATGCGATGTTTTCCAGTTGTTATCTCGTCCCTTATTGCCAAATCAGAGTTGTTAAGAACAATAAACTGCTTGATGCATATAAGTCCCCAGATTCATTTACCCCCTTGGGGATGAACTAAAATAGGGAAATCCCAACCCTCAGGGAAAGATCACAATGGTATATAGTCTTGTACGTTCATCACATCTAGAATCAGTGCTCAACGTCAAAGGTCAAATCAATGTCAGCCTTTTGATAGAAAATCACAAATCAAAACACATGCCTAAAAATCTTCTGACAATTTGTAGTTTTATGCTTAATAGGAGTTCCTCTGCATATTGACAAAAAATAGAATTCATATTACATTTTGGTTGAACTTCTGTGTCATTTGATTGTTATTTCTTGGAAACTTATTTCACATGATTCATTATTACACCAAATGTATCAATTTTGTAAATCCTAAATCTTAGCTGTAGTTAACATTTTAATTCCAGGTGTATCTGGACCAAAGTAAACAAAAAGCTGCAAAAAAAGGCACGGAAAAGAAAAACACAGAAAAGACAAAAGTCTAAATGGACTCTTTTGTGCCTTTTGTGATAATACTTTATAAATATGGTTTGTAAATAAATGCATTTTGTTGTTTGTTTTGTTAAAGTTTTGAAATAAAAATTATAAACATGCTTTTTTCTGGAGTCATTTCACTTCTTGATTTTGCTCAAAAAATTACATTTGTTATGCTCATGTTATCTGGGTACTAGTTTAAAGCAAACCAAAAAAAAACCATTTTGGCTAACCAAGTATTATTTACAGAACAAAAGATCCCAGAGGAATCTTGTCATCACCATTGCTTGATCTTTACTTGGTCTTTAATTAAATGTTGGAACTTTTTATTTTTGCTTTTTAGTATATGAATTTTGAAAATTCCTCCAGGAAATAGTTATACTAATTCTATTAAATCCCACATTGTTGCTTATCATCCAAATTGATTTTTCTGATTAATCCCAAAATCAAAGGGAGACAACTATGGACCAAGGGGAACCTACTTACAAAATCTGAGAAAGATCCATGGAGTACTTTTACCTCTCATTCATTTAGTTTAATAATATAATGTAAACTTGATTTATTTTACAACAATTGTGAAACAAATTTTGTGCTTATATTTATCATTCTTGTTAACTTGATGAAAGCGTGCGAGTGGTCTTTCTATGGAAGAAAACCAGAGTACCCAGGGAAACCCACACGGTAGGGCAGGTGACCCTATTCCTTTTCACTTCCATTCCAAGAATTGGACCCCAGAGCACCTAAGTAAAAGGTGAATGTGTTACCACTACTCTTCCTGGCCGCCATTTTTTTCTGATCAGACCCAAAATCAAAAGGGCACAAGTTGGTACCAAGGGGAAACTTTACATGGCATCAGACAGATTCAACCAGAACTTGTACTTTCAAAGAAATTACAATAACAACCTTTCCTTTTAAAATTCCAAGATAGCCATCCATCAGCCATTTTCAAAGATGGCCACCCTTTACCATTTTGTTTTTCATATCAGTCCCAAAATGAGTATACATAACCAAAAATCAAGGGGAGCCTACACATGTAATTTAAAAATTATCCATCTAGTACCTCTAAAGATATAATAGTTTTGGAAGCAAAGATAACACACTTACAGACAACGTGTGATTTGAACAGCCCACCATCTGATGACGGTTGGCTAATGAGACCAGGTGTGATCACTTCATAGAATGAATTGCATTTTTTTTTTCAAGATTATTGGGAACTGTGAGAAGATGTTAATATCTACCAATAGTAAACAATATTGTATATATCACAACATTAATATAGTCTCTGAAATGCTTTTTGTAACATCTATTACACATGCCTTTTCCTGTCATGTACCATCAAAAGTATTGCTTGTACAGGTATGCTCTGGAGTCTTCTTACTAATATTGTACAAACATAACACTAAAATGTATGATATCAAAACATTTATTTATGAAATAAATAAACTAAGAATATTTTATATGACGTACAAATGTATTACCGCCATTGATGAGTCCACATGAACATATACACAATATCGTGTTTACAAACTGGACAGTTAACCATTGTAAACATCATCCAATTATAAGCTGTCTTCAACCCACTTATATCACTGACTTGATCTTCATCCTCAGTGTCCAAAGAACCTGAAATTATATGCAAATATTTAAAATCGTTAAGGTACACTGAAGGCATCTATACCACTGTGATTTGCCAGTTCGAAAAATTAACAAGCCTTCTAAAACCACATACTGTCCAAACATATGCATGGTGAGAGCAGACACCATACTGAAAATGATAAAATTTGTAAATACTGCCAGGAATATCAAATTTTGAACATATAAACTAAATACCCTGGTAAACAAGGAAAGATTCAAAACAAGTAAAAGTAATTCTAATATTCACAATTGTTTAACTATACAGTTTAGGTACTTTGACCTTTTTAAAAGATTTTTTTCAAATTTTAGTTCCTACTTCCATTGTCAAGAGGAAAATATGATTGATCTTATTCCTTACATTAGACCTTACAAGGAATTTCTGTGTTAATTCAGTTCAGGGCTGAGGTCTAATCAGACCAATCTTGTAACAATAAATACTTACACTAGCATGCAGAACATAACAAAGAGGTTCCACAATCCTATGAAGATCCTGAAGTATCGCAAACTCAGCAGGAACTCTCGCACTTTATCACCTGTAACAGATGACTCGTAAGTGCCATTTAAATGCATCAAGATGTACACAATATACACTACACAGCATCAACAATTACTGATAATGACAATCCTCAATCAAATACAACACACACCAGGTACACTGATAAAGAATCAAGCTGGTTTGACATGTCAACTAAGTGAACATTTTGTTTTTAACCTGCAACCTTGCAATCAATAAATTAGCATAAGACTACTCACCAACAGTTGGCTCTACAATGGCTCCAAATGTATCAGGTTGTCCCTGTCCCTTTTTCCTAAAAAAAGAAAGGAATGAAATTGGAAAATGAAAACACCTATTTATATATATATATATGGAAAACATGATACAATACCCATCTGAACTTTCAGAAGTAATAATTGATGAATATCAAACATTTTCTGCAAATCCTTTGAGTGTAAAAAACTTTTAAAATAATAAAATATCTAAATTACTGATGTCCATTAAATTGATATTACATTATTTAAATACTCACAATTTAAAGTTCAAAACTGCACAAGCATTGACCATCAAGGTCCTGAAAATCAGAGAGCATACAAAAGATTAAGGTGTAGCAGGGAATTGGAAATTTTGTTCATAACTGAGAACTGTTCAAACTGACAAAGATCTGATAGAGGTAAAAATGTTAATGTTTATTAGCTCTGAACAAATAGTCAATGGCTCCACATAATAATTCTGATTATTTAAACTACCCTTACCATTTCTATAGAAATGTTAATGGTTAATAAAAAGTAAAAAGTTATTCAATAAACAGGAGAATTAAAAAGTAATAGCATTAAACCAGAAACAATGTATATATATATGAAGATTTCAGTAACAAAACAAAACATATTCACTTTTCTTCTTCCTACCCATGTTGGATATCATTAATTAAATAACTACCCCTCATTGATTAACCTCCAACACCTACCTGCTAATCTTGCTTAACTATATTAATTTCTGTTTTTAGCAATAAGTAAATTTATTCCAGATTGTGTATAAGTTGTGCAAAGCCATAGGAACATGTTTATTTTTTGGTGTAGTAAATAGCAAAATCAGCTGGTTTAATTTGCTAAATGAAAAGCATTTAAAAGATTTATATTTCCACTATATGAACCTATATCGGAGATCCACTGTTTAATTAAAAGTCCTTCTCCTTTATACAAGAATGCTTCATATGAAATTGAGACAATCTTAACACTCTTATAGAGGAATGATTTTAAAGAATTTGCTCTATTTTTCCCTATTAGGCTTCATCTCTCCAGCCCCAGAGTAGACAGAAAATGACTGTCTAAAATGATAATTTAATGTTATTATTCAAATTTATTATGATATTAACATTCTTATTCACTATGTAGTATGTTCATTTTAGAATGTAAATGTCAATAATATGATAAATGCGATTAACAGCATTAATTACCATTTTAGAGACAAAACTTTTCGGTCATTAAAAATGTGTTTTATTTCCATAGTGAGCAGTCGACACAGTATTATGTCAGATAATATAACAAATCGTCCGACCAGTGGCCTCGTATGTGTAGAGGAAAGTGGTCTAAATCTGCGTGATATTTTTCTGTTAATTCTACAGCAACGATTCATTCACCTACCCAAACAAGATCAGATCAGAAATCATTGTTGCCACTTCTTTCTTTCGCCTACATCACAATAATTATACACGGGTCGATCTGTGTGAAATTCCTCATTCAATTTGGCTTATTACATTAGTAAACGTGTCTCCGAAAAAAACGGAAGTTGACATGTTGGCAGAGATCATAATCAGACGAACGCTTGAAGCAAGGCGCATTCGTATAGACACATTTAAAATAGACTGAGAAATGTATCTCTCCTTCCAAACACCAAATTTCCAAGTTCATTTCTTTTGGATGAATTTCCTGTGAAGTACGTTATAGTCTGTCACATGCTGCCATGTGTATGCGCTTTAAGTTCTAAAAAAATAATAATAGGTAAACTCTTCAGGCTTGTTGATATGTTCACTTTAATCTTACATAAAATCAATCACCAGCTAACACAACTTGTATTAAACAGTATAAGAATTCCCATTAGAGATATTGTCACACATTTCAGAGAGGAGTATTAACACAGAATAATTGTCACAAACTTATTTTAGTCAACACAGAAATATTGGTCATCAATTTATACGAGTCAACACAGAATGACTTTTCAGCAATTTATTGTAGACAATACAGACTGAATCAATTTGTCATCAATTTTTTAGAGTCATAAACAGAATAATTTGCCATCAATTTATTGGAGTCACCACAGAATGATTTGTAATCAATTAATTTGAGTCAACACAGAATGATTTGTCATCAGTTTATTGGAATAAATGAACAATGATTTGTCATCAATTTATTGTAGACAACACAGAGTAATTTCTCATGATATTTTCATGTTATGAGAGTGTAAGCAATATAGTATGATTTATCTGTCCAATAATATGATCTCACCAGATATAGTACAAATTAAAATAGGAACACTATGAGCATTCCCAAAATGGTTTTATGCGTAACATAGTCAAATAAATAGCCTCATTTACAAGTCAAAATCCAAGAATTTTAATTCTCGTAACCCTTTAATAACTTTATAGTGTATTCCCCCCACAGATCACAGAGCATTCAAATTCCAGGGAGGGAAATGATACAGCAGTTTTATAAATACATTTCAGAAGACTCATATGTCAAGAAATATTCAAACACTGGAGTCAAACACAAACCAATATCTTTATGATTCTCGGTTTTAACATCAAAGTTCATATTTGAAGACAGGTGTATTATTAAAGGGTCCAATAGACATGATCAGAATGCATTCAGTTGTTATTAGATTACATAGATGGTGTCTGACAAAAGACAATGATCATAGATATAGGGGATAGTGGTTTCCCATTTAACATTATATACATTTCACAAGTATGACAGAATATCTGTATTTTTCACAGGTGAAACCTATAGATATATTCCATCATATGAGAGAAATACATTTGATATTTAACTGGAAACAATTAAACTTTCTTTTCTTGATACATACATGAAGGAAAAACAAGTGGAGCAGCGACTCACATAGATATACTTCCTGGATCAGCAAGTCAAAGTGAGACGGGGCTTGTATATATATATACCCTCTACATCTGGATCAAGAAATAAGTGGTCATTGGTATCATGTGATTATTTGTAATTGCTGAGTGCTGAATCTTCAGTAAATCTGTTCAGTGATTTTTGAAATTTCTTGTAAAGCAGCTTTTTATTTCAAAAGTGGTCAAGAGTCACCTTTGACCTTCTACCTTGACCACCAAAACCTTATTTGGTGTAGAAGTTAGTGTTTTGATGCCATGGAGTGAACATAAACTCTATTTGTGGATGAAACATGGACGGACTGATGTAGAGACACACTCACAAAGTGATTTCCCCGGTACAATATGCCAAAACTATACTCTGGTAAGTGGGGTGAATTAAAAGCTGATCCATACATAAGATAAAGCAGCATCCAAATTTAACGAGAAGCAATCACATTTGCTTTTCAATACACTGTTAAAGGAAAAAGGCCAAGACAAGGTGTCCAAAAATGTTTGAGATATATAAGCAGGTAATTTGATGTTAGCATATGATGTTTTGCTTGAAAACAAAATGGTGCCATTTCATACTGTTAGTTGGTAAGAGTCACTTACAAAACTATTTTAACTCCAAATTGGAACATTTCACACAATAAAGATTTGATATAAAACCAGCTTGATATTCAACCTTCACTTCATTTGTGTCCAAATTGAAATTCAGCTAATTTCAAAGCAGTGACAAAAAAACACCATCCTGACTGGACACAACTACAAAAGTTACATCATCCTGGAAAATTTCTATCTACGGTAGTCATGATATAAGATTCCGCACTGTAGTGATGATTAAAGTTTTTATCAAACTGATAAATTCCTATATTTCACCGACAAAAATGTAACCGATTTTATCCTATTACTCCAAGATGAACTTTTATGGAATATTCATAATATTGTCATTAAAACACTAGTTTGTAACTTTTTATGATTATTAAATACGATATGATAAATACTTAGAACCATAGCAATTGCAGCCCTACATAAAAGTCAAGTTCTACAAACAGTATTTGTGCTTCATGTTCCGAAAATTGTACCATCATTAGTCATAAACTGATTACATATATACAGCCTGAAAAACTGTTGTGTCACATTATCATTAATATTACAAGGTAATAACCATCTTAATTCTAGATCAACTGTTTGTTTCTGGTTCATTGGTATATCCAGCAGCTATCCCTTTCTGTCCCTCCAAAGCTTTTGTCACCTCTGTTTCACCCAACTTCTGCTCCAAGCCTCTCCAGGACCGTGATGCAAGATATTCCCCTGAAAAAGAAAAATATCATTGTTGTATTGAATGATAATGTGAATGAAAATAGTAGTGTTGAGTTGACATGACAAAATATCCTGTAAAAATGTAGTTTTTGGGAGTAACGAAATGAGAATGTTTAACATAGAAATCTTGCCTGCAGTATCCGCTGGCACTTCAGAAACAGCCATATTTTGGTTTCTAGGTATCATCGCTGTGGAGACAATGTCTTTGTCTTCTGTCACCCCTATAGTTCGCAGCTTGCCAGTTACCAAAGAAACATCTGTCTGTGCCTCGAACGTGTCAGGCATAGCAACATAATTATCACCACCTAAAAAAGTACACAAGATACATGTTTGTAAAGTTTGCAATATAATAATCAGTAATTTCTGTCAAAGTAGTCAGTAAAGCATTTCTTGTATTTTTAGACTTTGTTTTGAAAGATTTAGGTTTGGTAACAGTAAACAAACAAAGACAGCACATGTAATACAGATACAATAATATTTTCAGTCATAATCACTTTTATCATTATACTTCAGTCTTCACTGGAAATTGCTATACTTTGACATTACATAACCAAACCAACATGGTTGTAACAGAAAATCTGATAATTCTCAACCAGGACTGATCCACACTTGTCCCAATACCAAGATATTCTGTCTCACATTAACCTTGCATATATGACAAGGTCAAGAAGGAAAAGAGAAAAAGAACATATTTTCTTTTGAAGTGAGATAAATTTCCTCATACAGAAGTCATAACTGCACTTATTCACACCTGCAGGATGAAAGATTATCTCTACCAAAAACACGCATAAATTTCAACAGCATCCTAACCTTGCCAAAATCATAATATTACTGAAAGCAGATACCTGGGTTCATGTATGAAATATGGTAAATTACAAATTACTGACCTGGAAGGAGACTTCTGAAGTCTGTAACATAGTCTGCTGTCCAATCTCTTTCTGTGTTACAAGCAATCTCCAGCTCGTATGGCGTCACAATGGGTTTGTAGAAGTCAGACGAATCCAGTAAAGAATTCTCGGCACATGCAACCAACACAAACACATCAATCTCCATAAAATTGGCCAGCTTTGCCTCATTCAACTTCCCAACGACAAAAGTGTAACTCTTCTTTCCCGATTTCTTTACGATGTCTTTCAGACGATTAATAACCTGTAAATAATCTTTGATGCCTAAAGTGCCCACAACGATTCCCACTATGTGTGCATCCTTTGCTTTCTCAATCATGTAAAATCGCTTCATTAGTTTCCTGTTGATATTGACACATTCCTTGCGAAATACCTGTGATGAAGGGTTGTAGGAATAAAAGAGATTTGTATTAAACGTCATCATCAAGTTGGTTAAAGTCAAACTTTCACATCCAATATAAAACATGCTGTAGTTGCTAAGGTTACATTCCTCTGGTAACCAAAACGTCCTTCCACATTTTGTGACCTTTAACCCTTGTTTCTGACATGAAGTACAGTCTCCTTGGCCTTGAAGGTATGTACTACAATGGTTGGGAATGTCAAGGACAGAGACCACTAAATGATGATAATCTGCTTCCAGTGCTGCTGTTATTTTGTCTGAAATACAGAACAGATAAATATTATTAAATAACATCTGTGTCACACGATACTTTCTGCACCATATCATTTTCAGTGCTCAGCTGAAATGGTACTTCATATGGCAGCACATTAATTGTCCACAGTTATAGCCCTGTATTATTCTTCATTTCAAAGCTTGTCTGAGTGAGCAAAATTACTTGTGTTATTCTGCCTTGTCCTTATTACAGAATCATACACAAATTTGCATCAACAAGTATTTTAACACCATTATTTTGGAAAAGAATCTGAAACTGTACACCCAGTTAGAGAGATGTGACATAGACTCAAAATTTTAATGACAGTTATCTCCTAAAGGCTGATAATGCAATATAATATATGCAATACAAAATTATGATTTTAATTCTTCCTGTCCATAATAATACTTACCTATGGCATGACTGTACACTGTACCATACAACAGGACAATTGGACTAGTGGTGTCATGAAACCAACCCCGAAACTTTTCTTCACAGTCTGCCACCTCCATTTGTGACCGGCCAAACACATACAGAACAGGAAGACGCTGGGTGGGACTCAGACAGGTACGACCAAAATGGATGAGACTGTCTGCATTGTAGTGCTGTGCAGCTACCTCGTCTACACAGCAGCTGTAAATGGTAGCATGTCATTAAACACAATATCAGCTGTAGAATAGACTTATCGTAATAAATTCAAAATAAAACAGCATGTCCATTAACACACAAGTTGTTTAGCACATGAAATTGCTTTTGACCGAAGTTTTAAAGTGAATTTGTTTTTTCTAAGATGTAACAGTTTTATAAAATGTCACTGCCACTGACATAATTCATAAATGGAATGATGATGATTAACGAACCTGCCATATGATGTGTCGCCCAGTATAAACACCTGGCTCTCTACTGCCTTACTGATAGCCGACGTCACAGATACAGCATCACACATCAACTCATCAGGAAATTGTAGTGCCACCTGTAGTAATAGTGTGGCAGGATCGACTTTTAATATAATGAGAATTGTATTGTTTACGTAATTGTTAAATCTTGTTTATTAGTTTACGTCTATACTGTATATATATATATATACATAAAGTACTTGAAGTTGGCAATCACGTGATCATACTGTTTTGTTTTTCTCTAAAGAGTTTTGTATATCAGTAATTAACTCCTTTAAGTGTACGACACATATTTCATTACCCAAACTGACATTTTGAAACATGTTATTAACCCATTTTTTATTGTTTGCTATTACGGTATTACCCTCTGCAAATTCCTCTGTTGTATCCATCGTATACATTTGTTTACTTCGTACACTTCATCAATTTCAGTGGCTGCCGTGCTTGTACATGTTTCAACATCAACATCAGCTTTACGTTCCAAAGACACCTCATCTGCTGTGAAAAATGCTGCAGTCGACATTTTCACTGGAACGAAAATTTAACGACAAAGCCGTTCATCACATTTCTTTGTCAGATGTTTCGGTTTTTAAATATCAAATATAAAATTACTTACACATAAAACAAAACCAAAATAGGCAAACTAGTGTACAGACCACTTTTCTCACGTGGAAATAATGTTAAGTCTCATGTTGTCGATGTCAAAATCCTGCTTAAGGTGTCTGTAAATCCTCTTCAAGCGTTCGCTTAACCGGACATAATAAACACTACTATACGAATGGGTAGACGGGATACAGTATTCCGAAATAGTATAAACAATCTATGTTCAAAGTTTTCATCATAGTGAAAATTATCAACAATGGTGAAAATTAAATATATAGCATACATGAATGTATGCTGTAAAAAATACTGTAGCAGAAAAAGATTTAACAGAATCAAGTTTGAAATGCTTAACTTATCGATGATGAAACGTATTTATTACTAGCTGATGATTTCAATTTTAGAACTGACGTAGCGAGCAAGCTAATTACTAATCATGCTAAGTGATTTATTTTAAAACATTGTGTTCAACATGTCAGAAACACTTCCGATGAAAATGATTAATACATTGAAAGTGGAGTCTTTGTAAAGAAAATAATTTAATGAAAATTGAAAAGTCACACAGGCGACTCTACATGCAGAAATAATTGTTCTTTTTATCTCCAATCATAATTTAATCAAATAAACAACGATGGTGTCAGTTAGAGGTCTATACAGATATACACTTTTCAAAAATATACATTTACATGTGAATATTTCCCTGTATTCAATTCTCCATACATTCTTCATTAACAGGTGCTGAATTGATTACATCTTTGGACAGAAGCCAGAAAGAGGATTTTTAAAAGGTTACATGAATTGCAATAGACACTGAGATCTTATTACGACAGATTTTGTCAATCTAATTCTTGAGAAAAAATGAAACTTTGTCGATGCTGCTGCTACCGTTTTTAGAACGTTTAAACCAAGAATTAACCGCTATCAGCGCGAGTTTAGTCAGGAATGGGAAAATGAATGTGTTGAATGTCACACTTAATGAAGCGATAGTATTTAATGAATTTGAAAATTGCATTTAACTTTAAAAAATATGAACAACACAAAAATGTATCATAAGAAACGTAAGAAGACGAATATTACTACATATTTGAATGCACTGCATTGTATAATGAAAGAAAAGGGTTTTATCCTCCACATTAATTAGAAGATATACTGTATTATTATTATAGATGTAATTATATCTAAAAGAAAATATATTTGAAAACCATCAAAGTAACAAAAAAACAGACGAATATCACTACATATTTGTATACCTTTATTGAAAGAAAAGGGCCACATTAAAACAAGATATACTGAATTATTACAAAAATGAAGTTATATCTAAAAGAAAATATATTTAAAATAAACGACAATAAAACAAGAATCATATATATTCTTCTGAATACATATTTTAGAAATTTGAATAGTATGTTTCATGCTAATATGATGCCCGACAATGTTTGACCGTAAATCAAGGTCACAGAGGTCAAATTTGTTAACACATTCAAACAACCTCTTCTGATTGACAAAAAAGCCTAGAATTAACATATTCGACAGAACGATTCTTTGGATGAAAGCCAACAAAGTCTACTAAAAAGAAATGAATTTACCATTGGTCAGGGTCACGGGGTTCTAATTTGTTATTTGACTGGTAGGTTACTGGGATGTAGCTTGACAAAGAGTGTTTGAGAAAAAAAAACTAGCATTGGTCAATAATCTTGGCACGGGGGCCAAAATTGTTAAGCATTCCAACAACTTCCTCTGATCAACCAAAAGTTCTTTAAGGTCCAGCATAATGATATTTGGCTGGTAGATTCCTGAAATAGAGACAGAAAAAAAAAACCCCAGAAAAACCCTAATTCACTTTCAAGGTTACAGAAATCCTTTTTTTCTTTCTCTTTTTTTTGAGACCACCGTTGAGTGATATAGTCGTAGATGGATAATATGTCGCCTTAAATGTTATTTACTTGCTGGTTTTAAAGGTTTAATTAAATTAATTGGATTTAGACTCACATTGACGGCCAATGATGTTAGGTTTTAATGTCTTTTTGAAAAAAAATACATACCAATGCCGCCAATTTGGCCTCTTGTTCGTCTAAATTAAGGTTTATTTAATCAAAAAAGTTTAAAACAGTGTTTTAAAATATATTATCTATCAATACTTTTTTAATCCCCATGTGTCGGATATTTTATACAGATTCAACATTGGAACAAAGTAAATATTGACTGATAAATAGAATAACAGCCTTCGGTAAGACGTAAAATACAAGCGAAAACATTCTAGGTACGACTGTAAGTACAATACACAGGTGAGGACACCGGTCACTTTATCGTCTCGCGACCAATTTGTAAAAATAAAATAAACATAAAATTTTAACCTCGTCCGATCATTACGTGTTGTTGACAGGGAATAATGACTGAAGTTAATGCCCTGGTGGGTAGTATTTACGCGGGGAGGGGGACAGAGCACTATGTTGGATGATAAAATACATTTTAACTGTTGTACCTCATGTAATTAGCTATACAGGTAACTGTAATCAAAATTAGTCATCTTGGTAGTACAGGTGAGACCTTGAAAGGTAAACATATTTATTCAGGGAAACGGTACACCAATTTTCACCCGGACAACTGACTCTATAAACTTTAGTGAGAGTGTCCTACCAAGTCAAGTACCTGTTAATTGGTTTTACCTGGGCCCATGTACCTGCCTAAATTAACTCCTCTACATTAACTAGAAGTTGTTGAGCAGCGTAAACAGTGTTTTCCCACGGAGAGTATATTTCTTAAAAGGATTATTGTAAACAACGACCAGGTAAGCAATTTGGATGTCAAACATTTACCGTTTATAGTAGTTTTGTAAGATAGAAACCATTTGTATGTTACATAGAAACATATAATACAGGTACATACAGCACGTGTTTTAGAACTTTGTCAGACTGGGACATCTGAGCTAATGCTATCCGACCATTGTGTCACCCGACTGAAATCTACCGCGTGCTATATAAATATTTTCCACGTGTTACACAGGAGATTATGAAATACAAACATGTTTTTGTTCTTATAGTTAGTTTAATGAACTGTGAATATTATCAAACAACACTTTATAGTTTATATAACATGACTAACAGATGATTCATTGTGAATGTATTCATTTAAACTATTGACTTTTCTATTCATAATAAGCGACTGTCTATCCGTGGCAGGTTAAAGGTGTAGTAGAGAATATATGTCCTATGCCAATGGCAAGGGAATAAAACTTCTAACATTGTAAACATTAAGTGATTTATATGGTAAGACATGTAATTTGTATGGTAAGACATGTGATTTGTATGGTAAGACATGTGATTTGTGTGGTAAGACTTGTGATTTGTATGGTAAGACATGTGATTTGTATGGTAAGACGTGATTTGTGTGGTAAGCGTTGTGACTTGTGTGGTAAGTGTTGTGATTTGTATGGTAAGACATGTGATTTGTATGGTAAGACGTGATTTGTATGGTAAGACGTGATTTGTATGGTAAGACGTGATTTGTATGGTAAGCGCTGTGATTTGTGTGGTAAGCGTTGTGATTTGTATTGTAAGCGCTGTGATATGTGTGGTAAGCATTGTGATTTGTGTGGTAAGCATTGTGATTTGTGTGGTAATCATTGTGATATGTGTGGTAAGCATTGTGATTTGTGTGGTAAGCGTTGTGATTTGTATATATTAACAGTTGTTAATTGTGTGATAACAAATGTGATCTGTGTGATAAGCATCGTGATTGTATGAAGACTTGCAATATGTGTGGTAAGACTTGTGAATTGTGTGATATGACTTATGAGTTTTATTGGTAGCTTTATGATTTTGCGCTGTAAGACTTGTGATTTGTGTGGTAAAACTTGTGAATGGTGTGGTAAGACTAATTTGTGATGTAAGACTTGTATTTTGTGATTTAAAACTTGTGATTTTGTGGTACGACTTGTACATTGTGTGGTAAGACATGTGATTTGTGTGGTAAGACTTGTGAGTTATGTGATAAACATTGTGTCTGTGATTTTCTTGTGGTTTTATGCTGTAAGACTTGTGATTTGTATACCAGGTTTTATGAGTATAGTATATATTGTGATTTTTAATGTATTTATATTCTTAGTGCTATGTGTGGTAAATATTGTGACTTTTGTGACAAAGCTTGTAATTTGTTTTGGTTTGTGTGATAAAACTTATTATTTATATGGGGGAAGTGTGACAGGCAGTCAACATGTGATTCATACTGAAAAATCCGTTTGATCTCTTTGTTTGAAAAGAATATTTTTCGGTTATTTTTCCGCTTCTTTGCTGCATGACTTTCGAAAGGTGTAATCTGTTCAATCCTTAATGAAATTCCATCCCAGGACCGCTCAGTTACTCGGCTACATAAAATATTTCGCGCGTTTATTTCGCCGAACTCATAATGTACATACGACATATTTACTTAGATTTACAAATGTCACTTTGAGATAAGATTCATTCCAGATATCACACGGAACTCAAGTTTACGTTTTTTTTACCTCTTGGAATATTGACTCTTATCATCCCTTTGTAAATACGTTACTCATATCTCTATAAACGCCTCCTGAAAACGAATTAAGGAGATAGGATTAGATCGAGTCAAATTATTGCAAGGTTAACAAAATTTAGGATTCGTACTGAAGGATTTCAGTTTGAAGTTATTTGGTTCTAGGACTATTTATTCATTAGTTTTGTTTATTTTTTCTTCCTATTGTTCCTCCGTCGTTCCTGTAACGATTTGATTACTAGGTATCTGTTTCGGTATCACAAAAGTACTTGAGACCCTCCCTGGCTGAGATATCGGTTCGAACTATGAGCTCGAGATATAAGAAAACGTTTTTGATATCCAAGTAAAACCCTATCCGGGTTCCATAATGATTCTTACTTGTCTCACAATCTAATAATACAATAACAATGTGTCATACGGAATGATCACCCATGAAACATGGATCATGGCACTTAGATGTAACAATCGTGCTATCATCTATTAATTAATGAAATACTGTAATACAGAACCGGTGTTCCTTTCATTTATTTATTTATTTATTTATTTAACGGGGTTTACGTAAACTATTACGGTTTTTCAGCCTTTTAGCGAACTAGAATTCCTTCCC